GGTGTTTAACTGTTCAACTATTCATTTGATTCAGGACCCCCAAAGTTTTGCATAAAAGCTACTAAAGCACTTAGCTCTATCTAAGGAGATCTGAAGTGAAATTCATGACAGTGAACCTATCTCCAGATCAGTGGGATTTCATGAGCTTTTTAACTTCCATGCCTCTGGGCAAGTTTCTGCAAACACACCAAAGAAAGGTAACAATCACTCTTGTACAAGCATTTCATCACCTAGGAGTCCTAGAGATCATTAAATCATTGCTCTTGACTATCCATTTTGTCGTCTTAGACAAGAATTCTGGAGGAAGTCATAACAGTAGGAACCAATGTTATTAAAAAATAAATAAAACAGCTCAACGTCCTCTAGCCATGAATGAAGAACTTCCTCAAGATCTAGCCCAGGAGCATAAAACACACAAAGATGAGAAACTTTACTGCAACTTTGAATCAATTCTTCTGAATCCACAGAGGCCTCAAAATAATCAAAAGTGAGAAAGAGGTGCTAAAGATTACATTCTAGGAACATAACTTCTGAAAGTTCAGAAAGAGGAACAGAATGCTAAAAACAAACAAAAAATGGATGACAAAGCACGGTTATCAGTGAGGAGATGGTTGATGAGCACCAATGCTTCAATGAAAAATAGAAAAAAATCTCCAAGTTGAACAGTATCCCTATGGAGGAGCAGAGAACCAAAGCTGCAAGGAGACTTCCAGAAAATCCACCTGGCACAACTAAAGAAAAAAATTCAGTGCTGCCCCCAAGAAAGCCCAGGAGTAAATAGACTGAAATTCAGTGATGAGGAGCAAGCTACATTTTGGAACATGTATAGCCTTCATTAAAAAGCCAAAGTCTAGGGCACAGGCTTGTAGTGCCAGCTACTCAGGAGGCGGAGGCAGGAGGATCACTGATCACTTGAGCCTAGGAGTTGGGGGCCAGCCTGGGCAATACAGCAAGACCCCAATCTCGAAAAGAAAAAAAAAAAAAAATTAAGTCTGGCAAAGAGATGAGACTAGCAACTGCAATAGCTGGAAAGACAGATCAAAAAGAATTTATGATAAAGAAAACCAAATGACCTGGGCATGGTGGTACATGCCTGTAATCCCAGCACTCAGGAGACTGAGGCAGGATTACCACAAAAGAGGCCAACCTGGGCTACACAGTGAGTTCAAAACCACCCTAAACTACCTAGTAAGATGTTCTCTCAAAAAACTAAGAATCCATTTACCAGATCCAGAAATAGAAGAAAAACAGAACTTTATGATGATGTGGTATAGCCAGAATATCCACTTAAAATATTACATTTTCTTTGGAGAAAGCAGCTGGCAGTGTGAGATGCAACTTTATAAATGAAAAAGTACAAGGCATGATGGCACACAGCTATAAACCCAGCACTCAGGAAGGTAAGGCAGGAGGATCACAAGGTCGAGCCCAGTCTGGGCAATTTAGTGAGATCCTGTTTCAAAATTTGAAAATAATTAAACAAAAGGGCAACCCCAAATAATGCACAAAAGAGAAAGTAACTTCCAAGCAATTTTTCCCATTCCAAATAAAATGCTAAATTTGTGTCATTAATCTGAAAATTAATAAATCAAGAAGATTTACATTACAAAGTCCAAAACCATTGTATTTTAAAAAGCACACAGGCAAAAAAAAAACCAAAAAGCACTATGCTGAACAATGACTGGTTTGATTCCATCTTTTTTTTTTTTTTTGGTACCAGAGATCGAACTCAGGACCTTGCGCTTTCAAGGCAGGCGCCGGAACCACTGAGCTAAATCCCTGGCCCTGATTCCATCTTTTTTTTGTACCAGGGATCAAATTCGGGTCCTTGCACTTGCGCAGCAGGCGATGAAACCACTGAGCTAAATCCCCAGTCCCTGATTCCATCTTTTAAAAACAATTCTACAACACAAAAAGTGAGCTCAAATGTGAATTATAAACTAAACAGTACTGATATTGGTTCATCAACTGAAACATACACCACAGTGATGCTAGATGTTAGTAACAGGCAACTGGGAAGAAGGGACAATGTGGAAACTTTGCCTACTATCAGCTCAGATTTCTGTAAATATAAAACCACTCTTTTAAAAAGTCAGGTTTTTAAAAGATTCCACACGTGCAGACAGATTTGCAAAAGAATATTTGTACATGCAAAGAGAGCTAGAACAATCTATATCAAACTGTTAACAGTGGTCATCTACAATAAATGAAACCAGAAAAATAGAAGAGGAGAAATTTTACATTATATCCCTCTGGACTGTCTTAACTCTTTTTTTTTTTTTTTTTTTTTTTGCTTAAATTCTTTTATTGGTACATTTTAGGTATACAATTCGTTTACATTTATCACTGGGTGCTTGTACCTGTACATGATGTATCTTGATTCTTACTTTTTCCCCATTACCAATGCACCCTTCACCCCCTCCACCCTTCCCTATTTACACAGACTTTGTTTCCATTTTTTTCTTTTCTTATAATTTTTCCTTTCCCTTCCCTTCCCACTTCCCCTACCCTTTTGGAACTTTTCTTCCTATTTCAAATTATCAACTATTCATTTTAAACGTTTTAATTCTTATTTACACTTTCAGTTTCTCACACTAGAGATATGGACTGTCTAAGCTTTCTACACTGAGCAGTACTAGTGCTCTAAGGAAAAACTGTCTAGCATATTAAGAGCTTGGATTCTGAAATCAGATTGCATGGATTCAAATCCCATCTTCACCCTTTACTAGCTGAGTCAACAGTTACTTAATTTCAAGCCTCAATTTCCTCACCTGTAAAATAGGAATAATAGTTTGTGTTTACAGGCTGGGACTACATGACAATGCACATAAAGCAATGGAAAACTGTCTAATAACTCATTAATACTCATTAACTGGTAACCATTATCATTGTCACTTCTAAATTTTCTTCTTGTATCTTACAGGACAAAAGAGGAAAACTTGGGTCATCAAACCTCTTTGTAGCGATCTTCATGCAGAAAATACAAAAGCACTCAAAAAACTTCATAAGGCTACATTCCACTAAAAATTCTATTTACTGGGCCATGTGTGGTGGCGCACACCTGTAAGCCCAGCACTTGAGAGGCTGAGGCAGGAGGATTGCCATGAGTTCGAAGCCAGCCTGGACTACATAGTGAGTTCAAAGCTAACATGAACTACATAGCAAGACCATGTCTCAAAAAACAAAACCAAAAAGGTTTTAATTTACAAAAACAGGCAACAGGCATGACCTGGCCCACAGGCTGTAAAGTTGTTATCTCTGAAAGAATAAAACAGAGCCGGAAGTGGTAGCTCATGCCTGTAATCCAGCACTTGGGAGGCTGAGGCAGGAGGACTGCCAAGTTTGAGGTTAGCCTGGGCTAGTCAGTTCAAGGCCAGCCTGAACTACACAGTGAGACCTTGTCTCAAAACAAAACAAAACAAAAAAAACTAAATTATTTTCACCTAGGGAAACAAAATGGGATTTATACTAAAGAAAGTGCACACCAGGCAGGGTAGCACAGGTCTGCAATCCCAGCACTGTGGTAAGCTGAGGCAGGAGGAGGACAAGTCTGAGCTCAGCCTGGGCAACTTTAGTGAGACCCTTTCTCAAAACAAAAAAAGGCTAGGAATGTAGCTCAATGCAAAGGCCCTGGGTTCAAGCCACAGTACCACAGGAGGAAAAAAGGGGCACTAACTAAATTGAAACTACTGATAGAAAAAATACATTCATTTATACATCCATTACAGGGATGGAAAAACAAAACTCTTTAAGCTTGGGAATCATACTCTTACCCCTCCTACCCCAAATAGCCCAAAGTCTAGAGAGAAACACATACAGGTGGGTAAGCAACTACAAATAGAAGCTAAAAGAAAAGATGCCTTTTGTATTTAATTTTAAATTTTTTCAAACTTCACAATTCGCCACCAATTAGCTGCTCCCACGTGTTTTGAGGATTATGTGCATACCTAGTTTAAAGTGCCCTTTAAGGTCACTTCAAACTTCAGAACGCACAAGGTTTATCATCTCTCCTCAAAAAAATAAAGCTTTCAGTAGAAGTAATTTAACATTTCACTGGGAAAAACTTGTGATCAAAAAATTTTAAATATTATGATAGGTTTCTTTGCGCTGGGGGGATAGCAATAGAGGGCTGAGAACTTCAGAGTCTAAAAGTTTTAATACTAAAGCACCATTATACTAAAAACAAACAACAACAAAACCAGCAATCTTCAACGAAATACTGTACCCTTCCAAAACCCAGATGGATATTTAATCTTTCTAACAAAATTTACTGTGGGACCAACTCATGAAGTTGTCAAATTCCAGAGGCAAACGTTTAAATCAAGGTCAAAAACCAAGAGGTGGGGGAAAAAAATGCTTCCAATCTAAACTTTCTCACAGACCCCCAAGAACTTAAATTTATAACCGTTATCAGCAATTTCAAAAGAAGTTAACTACAGCTGAAAAGCCAAACAGAGGTTGGGAGAACAGGGCCCAAGAAACTATCACAAGCAGGCTGCCTGGGGCGCCACCTAAGAAAAGGTAAGGAAAAGCCTCGTATCCCAGTCCCTGCAATACTAGTACTGAGCAGAGCCATCCGAAGCCTGCCTCCAAAGAAATTCCTAGAAGTAATAAAAGACACGGAAAAGGGAAAAGGCGAAAGGACGGGCAGGGTCTGCCCGAGGGCAATAAGGAAGGGCACAGCACCCGACGGTGAGGAGACCTAGGAGGGCCAGAGCTCCGACCGCCTGCCCGGAGGGACAAGAGGCAGCGAGCGCTGGGCAACTGTGACAGCGGGGGCAGAGAGGGCGGGTCCAGGCCCCGCACTGCAGCCCCTCGGGCCACCGCAAGCCCCTGCGAGGCGGCAGGACCCAGACTGGGGGCCAAGCCATGGGCCAAGACCACACGCGCTGTCCGGCCCGCGCCGGGTGCGTCTGCCCCTTCAGCCCTCACCTCCTCCCCGACCCCGGGCGCTTCTGGCGCGCCCGGGGAAGCGGCGCTCGCACTCCAGAGACCCTCACCTGGAGCTTGTCGCCGCCTCGCCACACGTCTCGGACTCCCAGAGAACCAGCGCTGCGGGGGAAGGGGAGGAGGGGGAATGGAGGAGGGAGGGGACCCAACACGGTGTAGGCGCCGCAGCTGTCTCCACCGCGATACCGTGTCTGGATAGAGCTCGCGCCGCCGCTACCGCCGCCACCGCGTCTGCCCGCCCCCGCGACCGCACGGCGCCGTGACGCGCATCGCACGAGGCGGCTCGAGCCAATAAGACCACACAAGGTGCGCAGCCGCTCTGGCCCAAACCGGAAGCGGGCCCTCTGACCGGTCTAAAACCTCGGTGCATCTTGGGAGTTGTGGTTCCGAAACTCAACATAAACAAGGTGGCGCGTCCAGTATTGAGGCAGTAGTGCTCCGCGCGCGCTCACAAAATTTAAGGGTTTTTTTTTTTCCTCCCACCGAAAAGGGAAGCAGCCTAAAGCTGTGCAGGAAGGGGCCGCCCTGTCACCCAGACGCTTTTCCCAGTCTCTATGGATACGGGCCACACGTCTTGGCGGAAGACAGAACTTAAGGGTTTGGGCTGGAGCGCGTTTCCACCAACAGCCAATATATAATGCTAGGCGTCATTTTGTGAATTCGAGAGCTTTAGTAAACTTGCCGAAACAGTAGCTCTTGATATTTATTACATTATTAACGTTTTATGATGTATGCCTTACTACTTTTTTAAAAAGTAAATCCACTCGCTATTGGCATATAATTCAGAATGATTTTAAATGATAATAAGATAATGGAAGATCAGAAACTACTGAAGCATTAAATATGTCTCCATTTACCCAGAATGAGTGATTTTCTTCAAGTAAGCTTTAAATTGAATTCTAGTTTCTTAGAAGCCAATAACAAATGTGGTTATGAAACAGTTGGTTTTATATAAATCTGAGTTCTTTGTCTCACTAAGTTGAATAAAATCGCAGGCAAGAGGTGAAAGATAGGAGAGTGTTTATTGGAAATAAAAATAAAGCTCTTGGGACCTATTTAAAGGGAACTACGATGTGCCTTCTTTGTTTTGGCCTTATATAGATAAAGAGCAGTGGGAACTTGTTTTAAACAGATGGCTTTGTGGGTTTAGAGCCTAAAGAAAATTATTTAGCTGGTTGACAGGGACTGGGTTCAAAAGAAACCATATTTCAAGAAATTCTTCCAAGTCCAGCCCAGAGGTTAGGGAGGAGCTGTCATCTACTTAGCATACCTTCTTCCTGGGGGGAAAGGTTCTTTCCTCCCCCCCATTTTAACTTTTATCCTTTGTTCCTGTGTTTTCATTTACATTTCTAAACTTGGCCACCTGCTTGAATTAGTTCTTGACCTGGTAGGCTATTTTATCCAACTGTACCCTATCGTTAGGCTACTCTGCCTGCTCATAATAACTAAATTACTGCACTTACATATTTACTCTATTAAAAAAGGAAGGATAAAAAATAATAAATAATTAAAAAGGAAGAATAAGTGGACATAATTCCAGCACTCGGGAGACTGAGGTTAGAGAATTGCAAATTTGAAGTGAGTTTGAGCTACAAAGAAGCCCTGTTCCCAAAAAGAGAGAGAGAAAAGAAGTATAGACATTGGTTTGCAGAGAAAAATGATTTCTTCACATTCAGTTGTAGGAGGAATTTATCACACTTAAGGGGTAAATGTCTTACCTATCAAAATTCTTGATATTGATGAAAGGAAATCCATAAGCCTAGAGCAAGCCTATGCCCATGGCTTATGGTCTTTCCCTTTGGATCACAGCAAGGGAAAATGGGGTGCTGGAAAAATCTTCACACATCTCATTATCTAAGAAGCCAGGATCTAATGTATAAGAGAAAAAAAAATTCTTCAGTCTGGAAATGTAAAGGTTTTATTTATTGGTTGCTTGGTTTGGTTTGAGTTGCCTTTGGAGATAGAGTCTCACTATGTGGTCTAGGCTGGCCTTAAACTCAACCATGTAGCCCAGGCTGGCCTAAAATTTGCAGCAATCCTCCCTCCTTACTCCCAACTGCTGGGATTACAGGGCCCTGCTAATAAATCCAGCTCTGGAAATGTAAATTTTAAAAAGTGATTAAAATTACTAAAATCCCAAAACATGACAAAAATGGTCTTACTGCATAATTAAGACTTACTCATTTAAGCCTAAAAGACCTACAATTGTTAGGAATAAAATTAGAGGAACTAAATGTAAAGGAACTAATTCGCTTCAAGGAGTAGTTTACATTGTTATCTTCAAGTTTACTTAATTCATGAAAGTCATAGCAATAATAATTTCTATGTTTCCAGTTAAAGCCATAGGCTTTTGAGATCAAGGAAGACAATGTTACACTTACATAACACATCAGAAACACAATGCAGGCATCTGGGGATTACAAATCCTATCCATAAGACCAACTCACATAGGGCAAAGATGAGAAGAACAAGGTTTTCAGGCCTAATAAGATTTCTACTAAAGGTGACAAGGCTACAGAAAAAAAAAAAACCACAAAAGCCAATTCTTCAGAGATCTCAAATCTTTCAAGCATCCCTTTCTCTTAATGACTCTGCTTGACAAAACCAAGGGCATTACTCAAAGAGTAAACAATCCACACTCTCAAAAAAGGTTTATGAAAACTATCATTTTCTCTCTAATGCAATACAACTCATCCTGTTTTCTGTTACCTTGGTTTCCTTCACACATAATATCTGGCAACTTCTGATACCTATCATGATAAAATAAACCACATCACTTCCTCAGAATGCTCATACCTTCTCAGCTAAAGAGGATCTTGGCACCCTCCCTGACCTGAGGGACGTGCCCTTGAGTCCCGTATCCATGGCTGCTTTCACCCTTATCCCTTACCTAGAAGTCACCATTAAATGTTCCAAAGCAAACTTTCAGGCCTCCTTTTCTGAACAATGCTTAAGTTATTAATATTTACATATTGTCTTCTGATTTGTTGTCCAAAAATGGAGAATTCAGTGAAATTCTGTAGCCTCCAGTGTCAGCTGCAGATCTTGAGAGTCTCTGTTCTCTCCATTCTTATGGTGTCCTACTTCTGCATGGGAGGGTGGATCCTTCATCTTCTGCAGCATCAAAAGATTCCCTTCTACCCTGCCTGCATGCTAGTGCATTGACCCAACAGAGCTCCGTGGCTCAACTAGTCTAAAGGGGTCACCATCTGTGCAATTACCAGATGTTGCTGACAAGAAGAGTACATCACTGGATACCATTCACAATCCAGCTGTGATTTCAGTAATTCGTATGTACAGTCGGTCTCAGGGACAGACTTCACCTCCACTGTGATATGCAAGGCAGTTGCCAATGAGAATCAAAGATGTATCTAAAGCAGCAAGCAAATGAAGGTGCAGCTTTCAAATCAAAACAAAACTCTAAAAAAAAAAAAAAATACTAGGCAACACTAAATCGTAACAAGTTTGAAACTGGGCTTTGTAACTTCTATGAAGAAAGAAATTATTTTTTTCTAATCAGAACAATTGCTTTTTGGGATTTTTTTAAAATGTTGTTTGTTTTTTGTTTTTTTAAAACAGGGATCTCACTATGTATTTCAAGCTGAACTTGAACTCACTATGTAGCCCTGACTGGCCTCAAACTCCTAGTGATCTTCCTGCTTCAGCCTCTCAAGTACTGAGATTACAGGAATGCACCACCACACCCAGTTTAATTGCTCTATTTTTGTTTGTGTATTGGTTTTGGTATGGAGATCGAACATGGATCCTTGCACTTGCAATGCTTGCGAAGCAGGAGCCAGAACCACTGAGCTATATCCCTGGCTAATTGCTCTATTTTTAAGAGAAAAAAAATTTCTGCTAGTGAAAACCAGATTTAGTAGTCTTCTTGGAAATGCCTGTCTGAGTTTTTAAAAACAAAATGGCCAGATGGTGGCCTACACCGATAATGTCAGTAATCAGAAGGCTGAGGCAGGAAGATCACTGCAAGTTTGAGGCCAGCCTGAGATACAAAACAAGATCCTGTCTCAAAAATCCTAAATAAATAAATAAGGAAATTTCTTTTAGTTTCTGGCATAAAGGCTCTTTCTCTGTGTCAGCATTGATTTTTATCAAAATATTTTCTGGTTCTGAAAACCACTGCTCCAACAAAGGCCAGTTGTCCAAGAAGCCTATAATTCTCTTTTGTATGTGATCTCTTAAGTTCTAGTACCTATGCTTATCTTGGTTTTCAGCAGCGCCATGTTGACCAATATCTTTATGAGTCATTTTATGTGAAAATTCTTCAGCTATGATATCATTCATGTGACTCAGTAAGAAAGTATCTGAAATATCTAGTAATATGACAAAATCAAATGCAGAAGAGGGAAGAGGTCCTTCTTTTGAAGCTATAGGATCCACAGCCAATGTGGATATTTGTGTTTTCTTTGCCTCCATTTCTATGAGGTTTCTATTGCAGCTGGTGAGAGCTTCCTCTAGAAGCTGTGCTTGGTTTAATGACATTGGAAAACCATCAAGTATCCACCCTTGATCACATTAATAGGTACCTCATTAATTGCATTTATTATGATGGTAACTAATAACGTGGTATCTCATTAATAGCGTTTACTATGATGTTAACTAATAACATGTCTGGAACGTTCTTTCTTTTCTTCAGCAATTGTGATTTTGCACCAAGCTGAGCACATTCAGTGAGTTTAGAGAAATGATCACTACCACTTGATGTGACTTCTTCAGTTTCTGGTGTTCTATTAGTGTGTGTACTAGATGTAGTTTCACCTTCTGTTTCTGCTAATGGTTCGCCTGAAACTGGAGCATCTGAAGATTCATTGTGTGAGTCCTGGATTTCTTTACTGTCCTCCTGCAGATCTGATGAACTTCTCCACCTTCTTTCTGAATGGGTAAGTCCTCACTGACTTTTTCATTATCATAAAATTCTTGGATAGCTTCTTGGACAAGAGTATCCATACAAAGTACCTGAATAGGAAACTCTGTAGAGTCTTTAAAGAGATAGTTTTCCCACTAAATGTTTTCCCCAGTAACCATCCTTTAATAGCAAATGAAGCCAGTTCAGGTTCTGTTGGCTCAATTTGAAGAGGAAGAGATTTTTCAATGAGTCTGTGAGGGGCATGGCCCAGTATGGAATTGTTGGAGGGTGGTAAATTATTCGTCATTTCTCCTGGTACAGCCCACTCTCCAACCATGCCATTATATTCTTCATAATCTTTGCTATCTAGCAAGTCTCT